GTCCCAGTATCTTTCATCTAATTAGAATTGAACTTTTATACATGGAGCAACCTGGTGTTCGGGTTGAGTATCGAGATGAGAAGTTGGCTCCGATTCCAGTTTCTCTCCCTCTTTCTCGTGCTCTGGAGGCATCGGAGGCAGCAAAGTTCTCTGATCTCATTTTCTAAGCTCGTCAATCGTCGCGGCTTTCCTCCATAATTTTCAGGCAAGCTCGGGGTCCACCTTGCCAGATTTGAGAATTTTGGCGAGATGCACTCTCCTCATGAGCCTCCTCATACGACCTCTCTGACCCGGCTCACCTTCAGTAGGCGGTGCAGCTTCTCTCTTGGCTGATCCAAACAACACACACACACACACACACACACACACACACACACACACACACACACACACACACACCCACACATACACACACACACACACACACACACATACATACAGACATAGTGACAACATCGCGGGGGTAGTCAGGGAAGCTTCCTGTGACCTTTAAACGTCGAGATTTGATGAAAACTCGATTTTTGCAAAACGGGGTGAAAACAATAACTTCCCGATTTTCTTAAATCTGAGATTTTTAGCAAGAAGTTAAAAATTTTTTGAAATGTGATTTCTTAGGAATTACTTTTAAATGGCTTTACCGATCAATTTAAAAATTAAATCGGCTCTTAAGATTAAAAAACCACGTTGATTACCGCAAGCCCGGTCAAAATCGGTTGATTCGTTTGTGAGTTTTCGTTGTCGAAAGAAAACCGAAAAAAGTGTTTTTTCGGAATTACTTCGAAATTCCTGGCTCGATCGATTTAAATTTTAAGATTTTCCATGAGGCTTCAAAAACTGCGTCGAATGCCACCAACCGCGTAAAAATCGGTTCATTCATTCAAATGTTACTGCCGTTTGAAAATTCAAAAAATTGTGTTTTATTAAACTGCTATTAGAGTTTTGAGCTCGAAAAGTTCAAAATGACACAAAAATCATATTTTTGCGCTTGAAGAGCTCAAAAACGTAATGTGTAATTTTGAGCGCTTAAGTACAAAATATACGGGAAGTTGCAGGAATGGCCTGTAGGGTCAACCGTCATCCTAATTTTTTTCGTAATATTAGCGAGTAAAAGCCATGACAATAATATATTATTGTCATGATTTGTAGTTTCTTATAATCCTCTTAACTTGAATTATTCTAAAACGTTCTAACAAACAGTGAACTGATTAATATAATTATTTCATTATATTTGTCAAAAGTGTTGTCTAGACTTAGATATAATTATATATGAGGTGACAGCTTGATGGATTGGGACAGGCTTTGGCCCGATGGTCCGCCTGTCCATATCGCCAGCAAAGCCCGCTCCGATCTACCTTCGCCTGACATGAGCCGGCCGAATGACCAAGTCCATGGCAACGGAAGCATCGGTCCGAGCGTTCCCAGCGCCGGATACGGCAGACCAACCATCTCACTTTAACTTTCCCCAACGTTTCGAGGGTGGAGACGTCCCCGAAACTTACCTCGACGAAGGCGCGAATAGGCCTCCATTTATTGGGTTCGGTGATCTTAATTTTCACTCTGCTCGCTCTTTCGCCAAGGGGTTGTCCCAAGGACTTCTTCACTTATTCCACGGTCGTTGAAGCGTCCATCCTGTCCACAACCTTTGTAGGAACGAGACAGCGCACCACAACTTCTCCCCGGCTGCCTCGGTGATTTTTTTCTCGAGTTCAGAACGATCCTTTACGAATCCCTCGAACTCATTCACAAGACCACCTTTCCTCGCGGTCCTAACCGATCTTACACCTATGGTAAGATCCTCCAGAGATAGTTTCGAGCCACTCTCCATCCTTTCCACTGGTCGTACTGTTTCCTCGGGCCCTTTTGTATGTGTTACCTGGGAGGCAACACTCACTTGGCCAACGGCCTTCTTCCCATGCAGAGGTATCGTCCTTATCCGTCTTACAAGGACGCTCAGATGGCTGGCCGCGTCCTTTACCTCTAGAAACATATTCATCTTCGAGCCGCAGAATTTAGTCCGCACTTTGACCTCCTTCTCTAGTTCGAAGATCAGATTGTCGTCGACCAACCGTTTTTTGGGTAGTATCTTCCATCTGTTTTCGTCCCAGAAAAAGAAAACTGGAGCGACATTCTTCGGTGTCACGCTCGTTTCCGTCGGTGTTGCTCCGATCATCGTCCTCCCAGTAACTGATCTAGACAACGGGGCCGTGGGTTCCACCCCGCTGTGCAAACAGTCGCTGGATGACGCCGAAGAGCAACCCGTCTGCAAACTGCTCTCCGCTGGTACTAGGGTATCCCTCCCCTGCATCGTAGACGATTTTGTCATTGGGTTTGACATATCCATCGTTTGTTTTGCTGTTACCCTAGCGGTGGGGCCCTATAACAGGGTGCTACCATCTGGAGCCAGATGAACCCTGGTTTATTAACGGGGTTGATACTCCTCCGACTCCGTCTTCCTTGTCTTAAGAGCAAGGCCTCAGGCTTGCTACCGGCATAGCGGAGTTGGAAATAGTTGAAGCCAGAGCTAACAGATGGCGGCACAATCAGTTTCTGAAATGTTTTTATCTAGTCTTTAGATTATGACCTTTTATTTATATTTGAATCATTAAACTACGATGAAAATGGAAGAAAAATCTGGAAAACGGTTGACCCTAAAGGCTATCCCTGCAACTTCCTGCTAATTTCATATCTAAATTCATATAGAGCTCTCTGAGCTCATAGAGTAAGCTGTTCTAAGCTTTTGAGCTCTTCAAGCTCAAAAAGCTGATATGAGTTTAATAAAACAGTATTTTTTTAATTTTAGAATTGCAATAATTTCTGAATGAATAAATCGATTTTCACGCGGTTGACAGTATTCCACGCAGTTTTTCAGAATCTATTATAAAATTTTGGACACAATTTGATCGAACCGAAAATTTTAGAAAAATTTGAAAAATTCACTTTTCCGAATTTTTTCGACAACCGATAAATCAACCGATCTCGACGGTCTTGGTGGCGATCGACGTGATTTTTTGGGCTCTAATAATTATTTTATTTCGTCAAAAACAATCCAAAAAGAAATGTCGAGGTTATGTGAAAAAAACACTTTTTTCGAAATTTTTCGTTTTCGATAACTCTCGAACGAATCAACCGATTTTGACGGGACTGGTGGCAATCGACGTGGTTTTTAAACTTGAGACCTGATTAGTTTTTGGAATTGATCGGTAAAACTGTTTAGAATTTATTCCAAAAAAACGATTTTTTGAAAATTTTATTTTCGAGATTTCTCAAAATTTAGCCAACCGATTCGATTCAAATTTTTACGAAATTCAATGGCAATGATACTCTTTGGATCGCCACCCATCTCGATCTGATCGGTCAAGCCGTTCAAAAGTTATAAGAGGTTTACATACATACACACCATTAACTTCCCGATTTTTGAAAATTTTTAATTTTCTTAGCGGGAAGTTAAAAAAACACATTTTTCGAAATTTTTTGTTTTCGATAACTCCCGAACAAATCAACCGATTTTGACGGGACTGGTAGCAATCGACGTGGGTTTTTAAGTTTAAGAGTGGATTAGTTTTTGAAATTGATAGGTGAAGCCGTTTAGAAGTTATTCCAAAAGATCATTTTTGAAAACTTCATTTTTGAGATTTCTCAAAATCTAGCAAACCGAATCGATTCAAATTTTTACGAAATTTAATGACAATGATACTCTTTGGATCGCCACCCATCTCGATCTCATCGGTCAAGCCGTTCAAAAGTTATAAGAGGTTTACATACATACACACATACACACACACAGACACATACATACATACATTCGCACGGACACCATCGCAAGGATAGTCAGGACAGCTTCCTATGACTTTAAAACGTCAAGATCTGATGAAAACTCGATTTTCGCAAAACGGGGTGAAACCAACAATTCCCAAATATAAAAAAATTTTTAATATTTTTTAACGTTAAGTTAAAAATACAATACTTTCTAATAGTTTGAGTAAAAATTTTAAGGATTATTCAGAAACGAATTTAAAAAAATTTTCAATTTTTTTTAGCGGGAAGTTAAAAACCATTGAGTTGACTAGAATTTCGATTGTGACATCGAATAACTTTTGAACCAATTTATGGGTCTCATTTATTTGGGTCTCACTTTCTCAGACCTAACTACACTAGCGCTAGCGATGCGAGTCCCTGAGACTACCGCGCACCATGAACCGTCGATATTTTATTTACTACCCTGATGTCACCTCATACTATAATTTCTTGTAGCTAAGTTCTTGTAGATAAATTTTGCGACAAATTATCGTTAAATTAACATCAAGTCTACAAATGAGGAGCTGATTTTCAAAAGGGTATCTTTTCATATTTTAAATTACCATTTTTCTGAACTTTTAAATACTAATTACTTCGAGAATTATGAACATTTATAAATAAAAATCGAATTGCAGCTTCATAACCGATTGCACTTTATAGCTAAATTAAAAAAAGTTCAATACATATATTTATAATTGAAGATAATTAGTTTGTTGTCTCGATTAATCAAAAATCAAAAGATACCCTTTCGAAAATAAGCTCCTCAAATGCTCATCCTTATATACAAGTTGACAATAAGATAGTGTCGATATTTAAAAACAAGTCATCTATAAGCTCATAATCAACTTGAATAGAAAATTTCGGTAACTTAACGAAAATTGTTTCAATACAATTCGTTGAAGTAAAGTTGACCATAACTTTACGATAACTTGTAGATAAAACTTATTGCCAGCTACTTTTCGTCAAGTTATCTATAATTCGCGGCACTAGATTATCTTAAAGTTATAGTATGAAATTGCTATCAGGGTAGAGGCTAGACCTCTAGCCGGTATATTAGGGACCCCGTGATAATCTCAAAATCTTCTTGAGATAATGACCTTAAAATTTTGCTTAACTATTGTCATTTCGTACCAAAACGATCTGCAAAGCCACAACAAAGAAAGCCACAAGGGCAGATTTTTCATATATATCCGGCTTGACTCTTTATGAGGCTTCCTACAATTAAAAAATTATCTTTGTTTGGAAACAAGATACATAGATCCTGGCACGTGATCGATACGTTTTTGGTAGATCGGGAATCAGTGTACATTTTTGATAGTCAAGGGTTAATTCCTTCCCTTAATTCTGGAATGAATTCGTTAGATGAATATAGTTTTGGATATTTTAAATCAAACTATGTCAAAGGTACGTACAAAAAAGCAGTTTTTGATAGACATATTTACGTTATTTTTTTATTTTAGCTGTGTTTATAATACGCATGATAAAGAATGTCCTTGGGGGTGAAAATTTCCAAATTGGAATCAGGAATTATTTAAAACATAAGTGAGTAATTAATCATCCAAAAAATTACTAAATAAATAATTTGATTTCAATTCAATAGTAAGTTTCAAGCAGTCACTTCTGATCATTTTAATGGTGAGATGGTACACGTATCTGGGAACATGAATAAATTCTTAAATCATGCCCTTATCAATTGGGAAAACACTTCAGGATATCCACTTGTCACAATAATCAGAAATTACTCAACGAATAGAGCGAAAATAACACAATCACGTTTCATGTTCAATCACGCGTTGGATTCGACAGACAGATATTGGATTGCTCTGAATTTTGCTTTTGAAGATCAACCGGATTTTGATAATACTTCCATAACTCATTGGTTCGATCCAGCGATGATTTCATTGGATGTTTTAGCGCCAGAAGAGAACGAATGGCTGATATGCAATAAACAACAATTTGGTAAAATAATTTATTGAAAGAAGCTTAATAATTAAAAACTAAATCGTAACAATTGACTTTCAACATAGGATACTATCGTGTGAATTATGATAAAAGGAATTGGAAATTGATAATCAATTTTTTAAATTCTGCGCATTATAACAAAATTCATTATTTAAATCGTGCTAAATTGATCGACGATGCTTTCGCACTGGCCGAATCTGATTATATTCCTTATGCAATTCCATTCAAGTTAACAGATTATCTTGAGCAAGAAATGAATTATGTGCCATGGGCTGTATTCTGGGGACACATGGATCGTTTGTACTTTGAATCTGGTCTACGTTACTCTTCTTATTATGAAAATTTCAAAGTAAAATGCAATAAAATTTTTTAATCACTAATCATTTAAAGATTATGAATTCTCTCATTGATTATTTCAGAAAAACGTTGTTGACTTATTCAATAAAGTCGAAAACAGCTTCGTTTATAATACACTAAGTCATGATATTTTTAATAAAAAATCCATCAAAATGATGTTATTGACTATGACGTGTGCGTTTGGCTCTGATATCTGTAAGGATTACACGCTTGCTATGCTCTCAACATGGCTAGCAGATTCAAAAAACAATGTGTAAGTAAATTGACAAAGAAAAAAGAACTATCATATCAATCATGATTTAAGTAAAATTAATTTTGTATCATTAATGATTTATTTTAAGTCTTCCAGAAGATATACACCCAGATATCCTGTGTGGTGGACTTCGTTTTGCTCATGAAGAAATTTGGAATATAGTACGAGCAAAATATTCCCTCAGTAAAGATGGTAAAATTTCAACATCATTTGGTTGTACGTCAAATTACACACTTCTGCACAACATAATGTTTGACACAATGAATGCCATTGACAACGTTTCTAAAGATGACTTATGGAACTTACTCACATCGATCATCTCTAAAAGTGATATAGGTGTGAAAGTCATACTAGATTTTGTTAAAAATTATGAAACTTCAATAAACTATACGTGAGTTTAAGAGAAGATCTTCATTATGTTTAGGTCTAATCTAAATGATTTAAAACAATATTCTGTTTTTAGGGACTCTCGTTATTCATTCATAAGAGTTGCTATTACATTAGTCGGGCATTATGTTAAAACAGAAAATGATTTTAAAAGAGTAAGTAATCTTTTTTTTTCACCGAATTTGTGAATTAGAAAGAAACTCTATGTCAACGAAAAAATTCTTCTGTTTGGAAAAAATCTTATCTCAATTTTTAAAAGTAGCATAGGCCATTTACAATTTTTCAACTAAATAACCTGTACTCATGACAACTTGATTCTTGAATGGGGTTTCAAAATTTTATTCATCGAAATTTTGAACAATTATCAGTATTTTCTTTTAGGATAGTTGCAAATTTGTTCAAGAACATTTTATGACCTCTGGCTTGGTTAAATTATAGATCCCATCTTCAGTAGATTTCATAGAAATCTAATTATTACATTGGTCCTCATGGCGGAACTTTTAAAAAATTTTGACATATTCCGACTAAATTCATCAAACTGATTCAAAAAATAGATATGGTTCAAAAGTTTATATACGTATATATATATATACATATAGAGTAGCCGACATGTCTTCGGAAGGTTCTGGGTTCGAATCCCAGTCCGAGATATCTAATAATTTTTTCTCACATATTCTATAAACTCACATTAAGATGATCCTCTCCACAATCCTTTCTCAATCCTTTCCTACCAATTATCCTGTTACGTGAATGTTGGAACGCTTCACGTAATAATTATCCGTAACTCCTATTCTTTCCCGCTTCACAGCATTATTTATATTTTGTTAAAAATGCTAACCGTAAGATGGACGGTGTGGCTTAATGTATATAGAATAAGTGAAAGGAAATTTAGCATAGACCGGATAGCTCAAATGGTAGAGTAGCCGACATGTCTTCGGAAGGTTCTGGGTTCGAATCCCAGTCCGAGCTATCTAATAATTTTTTCTCACATATTCTATAAACTCACATTAAGATGATCCTCTCCACAATCCTTTCTCAATCCTTTCCTACCAATTATCCTGTTACGTGAATGTTGGAACGCTCACGTAATAATTATCCGTAACTCCTATTCTTTCCCGCTTCACAGCATTATTTATATTTTGTTAAGAGAATAAAATTTGTGATAAAATCACTGATGTTTTTGGAAGAAATCATGTCAAGTTAATTTTTAGATAATATTATTTTTTCTTCATTAATTGTGTTCTCTTCCTTTTTAATCGCGTTTACAATTTTTTTTTTTTAACTTCTAAACTAATACTAAACTCGAATAATGACATAGCAGCAAGATTTTCCTGTCAGATACCATAAATGTCGCAAAAATGTTGATACAGTAACATTCAAAATATTTCTATTAATATTTTTATAATTAATTAACTTTTTTAAGAAATCTAAGTCTTGAGCTGGAGCGCTTATCGGACAAGGAGCTTTAAACCACACTTTTACACAAATAATACTTCTATACCTCCCCTCCCCTACTTATCTCGTTTCAAAGTCATTTATTTCCTCAAATATAAAAATTTCTAACAATAAATGCCTAACATTACTTATTTTGATTTTTTGCTCAATTTTCATGACCAGTAAATATATGAATTTTTGACTTTAAAAAATGGAACCAGGCATGATTTTGTAGGAAATTTAATGCCCTTCAAGAATCCGCCATCAAAAAATTTTTATCTCAAGCGGTTCAAAAGTTATATCATTTTTAATGAAAAAAGATTTTTTTACGTGTTATTTAAATGGGAAACTTTGAATGCTCACCGACACCTTTCAAAATTGAGCTAAAAATCCTACCTTGGAGGAAAATTTTTTTTTCGATATATAGATTCATTTTAACCCATAAATTCGATAGGTTAGTTTTTTTGGCTCACCCTACTATAACTAGTAAATTAAAAATTTTCATTGTGAACACCCACCCCCGCAATCCGTATTGGGAGTAGGTTATCATATAACATAAGTTTTTCTCAATCAATTCCAAAAATGACCTCCACGGTCAACCGATTTGAATATTTTTTTTTCTCAAATTTGTCTTCCAGGAGTGGTTCGACTACTGCATCTATTTGTTGATGAATTATGCACTCAAATATCTTACCTGCCGTATCTAGCATGCAAAGTGGTCGGTAAGATGACGCTTCTTCTGTTGGTTTTTGCCCTTTAGGTAACAGTACCAATCGTTGCTTTTTCCTCTTACGAGGAAAAGTCTCCTCCTTGAGGCATGCATTATAAGCGTCTAGGAATAATGTTGGAACTGCCTTTATGATGGTTTTCAAGGCTAAATTAGGGATTCCGTCCAATCCCGGCGCTTTATTATTCCCTACACGGTTACAGGCCTCCAGCAGATCTTCTTCAGTGACAGGTAGGATGTCGTCCAATTCGCCTGGCGCCAACTGGTAATCGAAGTTGCGTTGCTGTGGAAACAGTGCACGATATTCTAAAGCAGTTGAGGATACGTAGGTGATGGCATTTGTTATTTTTTCAGGTGGGTCATAACCACCTTATAAGGTCTACCCGTCTACACGTCTTTATCCACCTCGTATATAAGCTCTTTCCAGCATCTTCTTTTGCTCTCTTTGATGGCTTTATTCAGTTCACGACGCGCCTTTTTGTACTCTGCGATCAGCTCCACTGAGTAGTCTGTTCTTCTGCACATCCAGTGTTGATCGGATCACCATCGAGGGCTATAAGTAATGCTGCTGGGTCAAAAGATTTTACCTTCCAATCAACGATGTTAGACCGCTTGACTGGTCTCTTGGGGTTCTGGTCGCTTGATATTTCCCAGAATATCGCATGATGGTCGCTGGCACTGTAGATGTCCAACACTTTCCAGTTGCAGTTGCCTCTAGCAAGGCTATTACTGACAAAAGTGAGGTCTACAATTGAGCTTGCGTCACCTTTGGTGTAGGTCGGCGTATCACCTATGTTGAGCAAAACTACATCTAGTGTAGTAAAGGCCTCCAGTAGTGCTTTCTCTCGTGCGTTTGTATGTTTGCTGCCCCAGTCAACTGCCCAGGAGTTGAAGTCTCCGGCTATCGCTACTGGATGGTATTGCTTCGCATCTTCGGTTAGTCGATCCAGGAAAGCAGTGAAGTCAACAATAGAGAGGCTAGGTGGTGCGTAGCAGCTATAGAAGCGGATGCCTTCTACTGATACTGCTACAAAGCCGGCATTGCTGTTGTCGACTGCATTTTGGAAAGAAAGTTTGTCACATGACCAGATTCACACTCTGCTTCCTCTGATATTGTGCGAAAGGCGCTAGCTACTCGTAGGACGCTCAGTCAATATATTGGTCCAGCCTTCCTCCATGATTCTTGCGTCTTTAATGCGTCGGCCCAAATGGATATTCCGTAAGTGAGCACCGATGTGACTACTGATGGCAGTAATAGCCTCCTGCTCTTCTTTGGGCCTCCGACGTTCGGCATCAGTCGTGCGAGACTAGCCCTCACTACTGACGCTTTGGCACTGACATGCTCCACTTGCTGTTTGAAGTTGAGTCGGGCATCAAGCATTACTCCCAAATATCGGATATAAGGTTGTGATGTGATTTCTTGTTCGCCGACTTTTAGCTTAATGGTCTCTACCACTTTTCTGCTGGTAATAAGCACTGCTTCAGTCTTGTGTTGCGCCAGTTGCAGGTTCACTGCGTCCATCCACCGGTTAACGCGCTCAAAAGTGAGATCGAACATATGGTTTATCTCGTCAAGGTGTTTGGCAACAATCACTACGGCTACGTCATCTGCATATGCTACGAGTTTGACGTTTCTTGGCAGAGTTAGTCTTAATAGACCGTCATACATAATATTTTACAGGAGCGGGCCTAGAACTGAACCTTGTGGTACACTTCCAGTAATATCATGCTCCCTCGGACCGTTCTTCGTGTCATACTTCAAGACCCTATTTTTAAAGTAGCTTGTTACGATCTTAAAAAGGTATTCTGGTACATTCTTCTCTTGGAGGGCCTGTATGATGCATTCCCAATTGGCGGAGTTGAATGCGTTTCTGATGTCTAGGGTCGCCACCAGGCAATACTCTTTTGTTCCAACCTTCCATCTGGTTCCTGCGATTGCTTCCTTGGCCGTATCAACAACCAGTTTGATTGCGTCCAGGGTTGATCGTCCTTTCCGGAATCCATACTGATTGTCTGCCAGGAGTGGGTCGACTACTACTTCAATTCTCTGGTGAATTATGCGTTCAAATATATTACCCGCTTTATCTAGCATGCAAAGTGGGTGGTAAGATGACGGTTCATCCGGTGGTTTCTTCCCTTCAGGTAACAGTACCAATCGTTACTGTTTTCACTTATGCGGGAAAGTCCCCTCTTTAAGGCATGCATTATAAACGTCTAGGAATAATGTTGGAGCTGCCTTTATGATGGTTTTCAAGGCTATATTAGGGATTTCGTTCAATCCCGACGCTTTATTATTCCCTACACGGTTACAGGCCTCCAGCAGTTCTTCTTCAGTGACAGGTGGAGTGTCGTCCAGTTCGCCTGGCGCCAACTGGTAATCGAAGTTGTGTTGCTGTGAGAACAGTGCAGTGACGATTTTCTGGAGAAGTTGAGGACACGTAGGTGATGGCATTTGTTGTTTTTTTAGGTGGGTCATTACCACCTTATAAGGCCTACCCCACACGTCTTTATCCACCTCGTTGATGAGCTCTTTGCAGCATTGTCTCTTACTATCCTTAATGGCTTTGTTCAATGATCGACGGGCTTTTTTGTATTCTGCGACCAGCTCCACAGAGTTAGGTCGTCGATAGCCACGCTGGGATATTCTTCTTTTCTGTAGACACTCTTTCCGAAGAACACTGATGTCGTCGTTCCACCAGTGTACTGCCGGGCGTTGGCTTATGCGGTGTTTCCGGACCATACTGGCGTCACAGGCCTGCACAACTCTTTTCATCAGGTCCTTGGTCATTTCTTCTGAGGATCCAGCAG